TGGCAGTATAAATTAATAAAACCACTAGGGGAATCAGTATGGGGATTCTGCAAAAAAACTGAAAATAGAAATTCCAGGGCCAGGGATTTAGCTCAGTGATTCTGGCGCCTGCCTTGCAAATGCAACAACCAGAGTTTGATCCCTGGTACCAAAAGAAAAAAAAAAGAAAGAAAGAAATTCAACCCAGCTATTCCCCTTCTGGCTATCTTCCTGAATGAGTTAAAGACATCCTATTACAGTGGTGCATGCTTAGCCATGTTTATAGCAACACAACTCATAGCTAAATCTTGGAAGCTGCTTATATGTCCATTAGGAGATGAATAGAAAAATAAAATGTTTTTATACACAATAGAGTCCTATTCTGTTATAAAAAAAAGGACAAATTAGGGTCATTTCTAGGAAAATGGGTGCATAATGTTAAATGAAATAAATCAGAAATCCAAGCTTAAAGTATAAATAATTGAAAGAGCAAAGTGAAAGATAGATAAAGGAAACAAGGAGATAGAGCTTTTGCAAATGGGAAGGGAACCAAGAGATGGAGAGGGAAAGGGAAGAAAGGGAAGAAAGGGAAGTAGAAATTAAAAAAAAATAGCTTTTCTTAGTTGAAAATTTGTGAACTAAGAAAATAAATTATCTGCTACATACCCTATTATAGTTATGAAATGGGGCAAGCTAATCACATAGATACTTGTGTTCCACAAGGAGGATAGGAGGCACATTAGCAGTCCCTGACCTATAAACAGTTCTGAAATCCAATCAGACACAGTTTGCCAGGCCCCAGAGGGGCCTAGAATATGTTTTTCCTTGAATGTGAATAGTTCCTAATCCATGATTCCCCAGGATCTTATTATATATCTTTTGAAGTATCTTTTCCATATCGATGGCTTTTCACCTTGTTCTTGCTTATAGGAAAGGTCCAGGTTCAGAGACCTCTTTTTAGTTTTTACTGTTTCTGTCCGTATTGGGCAAAGCTGTTAGTATTTTTATTGTTTGGTTGTTGTTTTGTACCAGGGATCGAACTTTGCACTTGCAAAGCAGGTGGTGGAACCACTGTGTTAGTATTTTTAAATAATGTAATTTTTTTTCCTTTTTTTTTTTTTTTGTACCAAGGATTGAACTCAGGACCTTGTGCTTTGAGGCAGGCACAGTCACCACCGAGCTAAATCCCCAGCCCCCAAATGTAATTTTTAAAAGAATTGTGGATTTCTCTGAATCTTAATGTCTTCATGCTACAAAAACTGTATATATAAATGTTTTTGAGATACATCTCTCTCTATGTTGAGCATATAAGGCTTGGGTGGAACAATGCACTCAAGATTCTTACTAGTATTTTTGTCTAGCTCACAAGTCTGCAAGATGCCACCTGAAGTCTCTCTGGTGTCTTTACAGTGTTATGACCACTTAATGACTGTTCTTTGCTGAGAGGGGCAGAAGAGAAGGAATGGGGAAGGAGAGCTAGTTGGGTGAACTACAGCCTGCGGGCTGGCAGATATTCTGCCATTGACCTGTTTTTGTACAGCCCATAAGCTGAGAATTGTTTTTGCATTTTAAAGGTTTGTAACAGAAACCTAGGAAAATGTGAGCGTCCATATATGACTCATGAAAGTAACAGCAGCTAAATGTGGGAAAGATTGATAAGTAAAAACACTTTGTTAAAGTGATATATAAAGAGGCTGGAGATTTCGCTCATTGGCGCTGTGGCTGCCTCACAAGAACAAGGTCTAGAGTTTGATCCCTGGTACCAAAAAGTAAAGTGATGTACATAAAGAGACAGGAAAAAAAATTTTCCAGAATACTACTCAACAAAGTTGTAAAATATAAGACAAATTTACATTTTTCCTAGTTATACAGGTAGAAATGAAGAAAAAAGCTTTTATGGTTCTATTGAAGCTTTCATATATATAACATACATATTAGAAATAATTGTAGAATTCTGAGATAAAAAGAATGAATAGCACATTCACATAAATTCCTGCTTATATCTAAAAGATGAAATTTAATGTCGAGACAGACTTAATGTAATAGCAATAATAACAATTATAATAATCTCAGTACTTTTCCCTCATTTTATGGTTACAGTCCTAGTTCCTTGGCGCATCATCTGGAGATTCTTGAACCCCACTGTTAGTTGCCTGCCTGTCTCTGCAGCTTCCTAGACGTCTGTCTGCTTTAGGATTTCAGCCTTCCTCTCCTCTCCTGATTACTTACCATTACTGCTTCTGGGTGGCTAGATAGACAATTCAAAATCCATTTGAAGTAATACAAATATGATAACAGCTCATGCCTAGTAACTGGTAGATACTTCAAATATATTTCTTGAATCAATTTAAAAAATGCCAACTCAAATGAGAGTGATTTTTATTGTTTATTGTTATGAGGAATTTTAAAGCATATGACACAGTCATTTCCCATTCAGAAGGGGAGATAAAAATGTAAATACTAAATAAGGAATGATATGATATGGACTGATTTCTATAGGTTTGACAGTTTAGAAATAGCCAGGTGATGGAACTATATATGGCATATATGTATTGCCTACCATTGCATATGGGGAAATTTCCACTTTACTGACATGAGGGAACATTCCATTCCCCTAGATTCTGTGACTATTGTGTATACTTAGGACCTTGGGAGATAAATTTAGGGTTTTATTTAAAGTAGAGGGCTATAGATTTTTGTTTTTCAGGGTATCTACAAATAAAACATTTTATGACTTCAGGGAAGAATTAAATATGTGCTTTCATTGGGAGCAGAAGGATTAAATAAACCTGGGTGTATGTGATACCTAAAAAAGTATTAGGTCCACAGGATTAGGGAAACCTGCCCTGATGATGAATTGAGTTAGAAATATGGTAACTGAGCATGAAACAAATATCATTTCCCCTCTGTTGTTTCAGGCTGCAGAATGGTGCAGGGTTCTCCTGTAAGACTAAGATTCCAGTAAAGGGGTCAAGAAAACAAAAATCTGTTCATGCTGTGGCCTCATCCTTTTAGAGGGCTCATGGTTTCCACCAACTAGTCCATTGAGGAGAGAGTAGTCTTGGGTTGGTGAGGGAGAGAAACTTTGCTGAAGCACCAGTGCTTCCACCCTGGAAGGTGGTGGGGAGCCCTTCGCTACTGGGAAGGAGTGAGGGATCGTGCAAACAAGCCATGTGTCATGCAGAGGCCAGCAGGCAGGAATGCCTCCTCACACACCAGGGCTAATTTGTCAGTGTACTGTTGTGGAGCAGGAGCGAATTGAGAACTGCATGTTTTTCGAATTTCTTTGCATATCTTTGAGGTTTCTGCAAGTTCCATTGGAGTGCTTTGAGTTCATTTCCTAAAGGTAAAGGGTCAGATGAAGAGGACTCTACAGGAATGATGAATCACAAAGTAATCAACTTTTTTAAAAGACCCTCTGTTGACGCCTATAATAATGGAATTTGCACCCTAATCTTTCATTAGAGTAGTGTTTTTGAAGGTCATCAGGACCCCTACAGTTGCTAACTCCCTTTTACCTAACATTTTACACAGTTCAAGAACAATAGCTTTTGACTCCTTTTTTATTTCTGGAACTGCTCTTTTTTTTGGTTTCTCTGGTTCCATTTCTCTTTTGCAGGGTGGGGGAGAATGACTTCTCAGTTTGCTTTGCAGGCTTTACTCCACCCTTCTTTCTTCAAATGCGCTCCCACACACCATCCCCATCATCTCTCTCCTCAGGCTGCATCTGCTTTCCGAGGAGCCTCCTTCGTATCCTTGACTTCCACCCCTGTGATCCCCAAATCTTTTTATTCACATTTTTTTTAAAAGTTCCACATCTATATATATCCTATGTCTACTTGAAAAACTCTATTTAGATATCCCACAAATGTCTCAGACTCAGTATATCTAAAAAATAAACATAATCTTTACCTCAAGCTGATGGCATTCTGAATTTCCTGTGTTAGTGAATATATTATTAGCCACCTTGTTGCCTAAAGCAGAAGTTTGTGAGGAGTCTCTTTAGATCTTTTTTTCTGCCTTTGCCTCAGAAAAATCAACTGTGAGTCATATCAGTTCTACCTGACAATTTCTCAAATATACCTGCTTTTCCACCTCTTCCGTTGGAATATTTCAGATAGTCATTATCTCTCTCATTTGCACCACTGTTTCTCTGCCTTTAATACTGATTGCTCCCCTTTATCACACTCTGTCCAGCAAATTTGATTGTATCCCCTGACCCTTTCCACAGATTTGAATGAGGGATGAATCCTAACTCAGCTGGTCATTGAGTCCTTGGCCATTCATATCCCACATGACCTAGGTGTAGTTCTCTGGTTCTGGTCTTACTTCCACACTGTGATAATGATTGCTCATTTTCCTGAACTCCTAAACCGAGTATCTGTACCACACCTGGGGACTTACTCAACTACATGCCTGCTGTTGTTCTTCTTTGTGTCTATGTATGGTGGACCAAGTGAGGGAACCATCTCCAGGGCTTGGACCATTACTCCAGAAAGGGTAAGACTGTAAGTCCTGCAGATACAGTGTGCAGTCAATAAGTATTTATTGGATAACTTTAACTAATAAGTTTCTCTCTTTATATATATTATTTATTAATAATGCCAGTTTCTTAAAAAATTTTTTTTTGAGTTTTACGTTTAACTGCATGAAGACTTACTTTTTTTTTTAGTAACTTTGTGTTATTCATTTGCTAATTAACAGGGCTTAACTTTTCATTTTCACCTAACAAGTCTGTTTTTTCATAGGTGAGGAATTCTTGTAATGTGCATGGTGGTAAGAACAGCAAGAATGTGCTAAATACCATCAAATACTCTTACATTCTTCTGTCATTAGAAAGGCTTATAAATTGAAAAGTATCACAGTTTTAATTGGACTTACGATAGGTTAATTTGATTTTTAGCTTCTAAGAGGCACTCTTTCAAGTAAAAAGGTTCTAGGGCTCAATTTAAGACAACATATTAAGAGTTGATGTGTCTCATGCACTTAGAACATGAAAGGCTCTTTTATTTCTGACACAGGCATTGACATGCAGAGAAGAGCTCCTGACTCTTCTTCTGTCTCTCCTTCCCCTGGTATGGAAGATACCAGTTCAGGAACAGCAGGCAACAGGTATGTTTTCCCTTGGGAATTATTCAAATGCAATAATGATTAGAAAATCTATGAAAAAGCAGAACACTTATCAAAAGGAATAAATCTAAGTATGCCACATATCAGAAAAATAGTGAAATTTTGAAGAAAGAAATTAAACTTCCTTTGCTTAAAGATTGCTTTCTATTACATTGCTCTAGAAATAATTTTTGCAGTATTTGTTTCAGTTTAGTTTTTCTAATGTTGCTTTTAAAGGATAAATTTGAAATACTGTAATATTTTGTTTCAAGGCTGGATAAACTTTTTTTTTTTGGGGGGTACTGGGGATCAAACTCAGAACCTTGCGTTTTCAAGGCATGTGGCAACACCACGGAGCCAAATCCTGGGCCCTGAATAGACTTTTTACCCCTAGGACCAATAGATGTTTTAAATTTCTGACTCGAGAAAAACTATATGTAAAAATAATGAAACTTGGGCCAGGGATTTAGCTCAGTGGTTCCACCACCTGCCTTGAAAGCACAAGGTCCTAAGTTTGATCCCCAGTACCAAAAAAAAAAAACTTGAAATATTTCAGTGGAAAGATCAACCTTTTTTTGGATATGTGAACTGTGAGATGCTGAGGTTAAAAATCTTCCTACATTATGTTTTATTACCTTGTTTATATTTTTAGTAAATTTGTGATATGAGCTTCTTTTTAGAGAGTTACCTAAAGTCTTATCATATTGTTTCAGGGAGTTATATAAGATATTGTAATATTGTTTTTCTCTTTGCTTTTTCTTCTGAATTTGTAGAGTTCAAAAATTATTGATCACTTAAGGACCCTTTTAGAGAAGTTTTCTTTGTTGCCTTTTATCTTTTGCTTTGGTGGTGTTTGTCATATTCCTTTTAATTCTCCTCTCACTGGTTTGTTTTCTATCTCCTAATTAAATCACAAGTCTTCTGTTTACAGATTTTTATTTATTCACTATATGTTGCAATTGTATTTTTCATTTAGATCTTATATGTTATTGCAAAGGGAAATGTTAATTATTTTCTTAATTGGTAAGAAGGATTCATTTCTCTAAGAAATTGTCATTGAGTGTTGATTACATGACAGGACTTAGCTGTAGGGACTGAGTTTGAAATGGTGATCTCTGTGCCTGGTGCCTAGTTTAGTGCATGAGGCATTTGAGAATTATTTCAAATGAAGAACCTTTTAAACACAGTCTTGGTGAATATTTGATATACACTATGATTTTGAAATAATTTTGAAAATGTTAAAGTTCTTGAAGGCTCTAAACTAAATACTACTTTTGAGAATATAATGCATCTTAATGTGGCACCATTGAAAGAGATTTGTAAAATGGTGTGAACAGCACCATTAAATCTCAGATAGTTAATCCAAAGAGTTATGTAGACATTAGAATGCAAGTATGGCTTTAGAACAGATTGACTTTCCTGATTCTATTCCCTTTCATTATATTCAAAATCAGTTTAGATCCTTTGAGCTAATATCACCTGGTGTTTTTAGAGTGAGAAGGGTAGGGCCCGGGGATTTAGCTCATTGGTTCTGCTGCCTGCCTCGTAAGCACAAGGACCCAAGCTCTACCCCCAGTATCTCCCCAAAAGTTTCTGCACTGCAATAGAGTAAGAAGGGTTAAGTGTGGAGAAAAGTGATCCAGAGACCTAACATAACTGAAGGAAAATAGCCCTGTAGCAAAAGTATCAGAGTCTAGACTTTTGAAATAGATGATAAATATGGGGGTCTTTGCCTGAATAAATTGAGGTTCACAGCATATTCTAAGGTATTCTAAGTCTTTTTTTCTTCCTTTCAATAGATTTTAATCTGCCATTGTCATCTAATATAATCCTGACCAAAGAAAAGAACTCAAGTTCACAAAGACCTACTCAGGAAAAATTATATTTGGGAGGAAGTGCCCCATCTAGTCAGGTTTCTACAAAAATAAACATCTTTCGAAAAGGCAGACGACAGCGTAAAAGTACCCATCGCTATTCCATAAGGGATGCAAGAAAGACACAGCTCTCCACATCAGATTCGGAAGGCAATTCAGATGACAAAAGTATAGCAGTGAATAAATCCAGAAGGTCCCATGTACTACAGCATTTTGTAACACAGTCTTCTAAAGAAGCCCCCCTCACAGCTGAACTTGACCCCTCTGTGACCAAAGAACACACTTCTCCTGACATGATGGCTCTGGAAAACTCCAGAGAGATTATCCCAAGACAGGAGTCAAATGCTGACATTTTAAGTGAGCCAGCTGCCTTGTCTATTCTCAGTAACATGAATAATTCTCCATTTGACTTATGTCATGTTCTGTTATCGTTATTGGAAAAAGTTTGTAAGTTTGACATTATGTTGAATCATAATTCTGCCTTGGCAGCCAGTGTAGTGCCCACACTGACTGAATTCCTAGCAAGCTTTGGGGACTGCTGCAACCTAAGTGACAGCTTAGAGAGCCAAGTGGTTTCTGCAGGTTGGACTGAAGAACCAATGGCTCTGGTTCAGCGGATGCTCTTTCGAACAGTATTGCATCTTATGTCAGTAGATATCAGTACCACAGAGGTGATGCCAGAGAGTCTTAGAAAGAATTTAACTGAATTGCTTAGGGCAGCTTTAAAAATCCGATCTTGCTTAGAAAAGCAGTCTGACCCTTTTGCACCAAGACAAAAGAAAACACTACAGGAAGTCCAGGAAGGCTTTGTGTTTTCACGGCATCGGCACAGAGCCCTTCTTTTACCTGAGCTTTTGGAAGGGGTTCTACAAATCCTGATCTGTTGTCTTCAAAGTGCAGCTTCAAATCCCTTCTACTTCAGTCAAGCCATGGATTTGGTTCAAGAATTTATTCAGCACCAAGGATTTAATCTATTTGAAGCAGCAGTTCTTCAAATGGAATGGCTGGTTTCAAGAGATGGAGTTCCTCCCGAGACCACAGAACATTTGAAAGCCTTAATAAATAGTGTGATGAAGATCATGAGTACTGTCAAAAAAGTGAAATCAGAGCAACTTCATCACTCAGTATGTACAAGAAAAAGGCACAGACGCTGTGAGTATTCTCACTTTATGCATCACCACAGAGATCTCTCAGGTCTTCTGGTTTCAGCTTTTAAAAACCAAGTTTCCAAAAACCCTTTTGAAGAGACTGCAGATGGAGATGTTCATTACCCTGAGCGGTGCTGCTGCATTGCAGTATGTGCACATCAGTGCTTGCGCCTGCTCCAACAAACTTCCTTGAGCAGCACCTGTGTCCAGATTCTAGCAGGTGTACACAGTGTTGGCATATGCTGCTGTATGGACCCCAAATCTGTAATCATCCCTTTGCTTCATGCTTTTAAATTGCCAGCACTGAAAAATTTTCAGCAGCATATATTGAATATCCTTAACAAACTTATTTTGGATCAGTTAGGAGGAGCAGAGATATCTCAGAAAATTAAAAAAGCAGCTTGCAACATCTGCACCATTGACTGCGACCAGCTGGCTAAGTTAGAAGAGACCCTGAAGGGCAACTCATGTGGTGCTGAACCTCACTCAAGTTTATCCAGTCCTTCTTACAGATGTCAAGGGATCCTACCGAGCAGTGGGTCTGAAGACCTGTTGTGGAAATGGGATGCATTAGAGGCTTATCAGGACTTTGTTTTTGAAGAAGACAGATTATATAATATACAGATTGCAAATCACATTTGCAATTTAATCCAGAAAGGCAATATAGTTGTTCAGTGGAAATTGTATAATTATGTATTTAATCCTGTGCTCCAAAGAGGAGTTGAATTAGCACATCATTGTCAACACCTAAGCATTACTTCAGCACGAACTCATATGTGTAGCCAACCAAAACAGTGTTTGCCTCAGGAAGTGCTACAAATCTATTTAAAAACTCTGCCTATCCTACTTAAATCCAGGTTTGTATGCATGCAGATGTGCAGCAATTTTTTCTTTATCGGATGTTTTTTAATGTGAGATAGAGTGTATGCATTTGAACTTCTAACCGTGATACCTCCACACTCTCATCAGTAGTATAATACATATTTATTATATTCTTTCCTGGGATTTAATCTTTCTTTCTCCCCCCCCGTCTCTCTCTCTCTCTCTCTCTCTCTCTCTCTCTCTCTCTCTCTCTTTCTTTCTTTTGTACTGGGGATTGAACTCAGGACCTTGCACTTGCAAGGCAGGCGGCGGAACCACTGAGCTAAATCCCATACCCTTAATTTTCTTTTGTTAACAAACAAGGAATCCATCCAATGTCAGATATTTTCAACCTTTTATTTATTTGTTTTTACTGAGAGTAGTTGTAGTGGAAAGGATACAGCAGTTGATCTTAATTTCTTAGCTAAAAAAGGTACAATTTTAGATATGTTTCTTGGAGAAAAAATGGAACTAGGGAAAAGATAAAGATTAAATTAGTTATTTTATATTTATTTGATGAAATATTATTAGCTATTAAAATTATTTATAGAGATCATATTGGACCAGGAGAAAATTCTTATAACATTTTAAAGTAAAATTTAAAATAACATTTACTTATTTACAAATGTGTAAAATATGCACATACATAAAATGATAATTATTTGTTGAGGCAGTGTTGTTGTTACTACTAGTATTATTATTATCATTTGAGACAGGGTCTTGCTATGTTGCCAAGGCTGGTCTTGAATTTATAATCTTTTTCCCTCAGCCTCCTGAGTATATACCCACTATACCTAGCTGGAATTGCTACTTTTTAAACACCACATTTATATTTACTACCTAAGAAATACATTTAGAAAAATAGAAAATACAAATACATGATCTTAGTCAAAAGGCCGAAAAGCGATGGAAAATACAAATAAAGAGAAGAAAAGTTAAAATTACTTTTAATTCCAGTTTTTGTGATTGTAAAGTCTGGTACATTTAAAAAATAATATTATAAATAAAGCTGGTTCATAGACATAGATTGGCCTTTCAAATTAATGCATATAGTATTTTAAAAACTGAAAACATCACCTATCATCTTTATGTGTGACTTTTAAAAATTCATCTTAATACAACTACTTTAATGTTGATGTTGAATCATTGCTTTACAGTTACCTTTTTGAAATTCTGATATTTTGGTATTGTCCAAGTAAAGGTGACTTTGTTTTATCCTTAGCATATTTGTGCTCAATCTAGATCCTTGCAAAATAGGACTAAGATTCACTGACTTGATTTATGTTAAAGTTATTAATAGGATAGATTTCAGTGGTCTAAACACAAGTCTTACATGAGACAAAGCTGAAAACCTCTCTCTCTCTCTGCATTGGGGATTGTATGCAGGGCCCCGTGCTAGGCAAGCCCTCTGTCACAACTGAACTATATCCCTAGCCAACTGAAAACCTTCTTTAATATTTGCATTGTTGACATATATCAAATAGCCAAGCTATAAGGAAACTCATGTAATATTGAACTTCATTCATATGATAGAAAGTCTTAATTTTCGTTCCTCTAGTTGGGTTCTTTCCCTTTATGAAGTACAAATGTAAGACAAATGATAAGTCTTGAGTAGGCTGTTAAGCAGACAGATGAACGAATGATTGTCTGATCTTGAGTATGATGATGGTTTTGACATATAAGTTTATGTAGAATTTGTCACTTCGAGAAAAATATTCTTCCCTGAGTTACCTCATTTAATTTGTTGGTTTTTTTTTTTTTTTTTTTTTTTTGTTTCTTTGGATTGAACTCGGGTCCTTGCGCTTGCAAAGCAGGCCACCGAACCGCTGAGCTAAATCCCTGGCCCTACCTCATTTAATTTGGATTGCATGTAGTCCTCTCTTTTCACATTCTTCCTGAGCGATATATGCAGTGTTTTGAGAAGGATGTGAGGGCAATTAGAAAGTAACTTGGTGACCTGGTTAATATTTAACAACTTTAACCAGATAATTAGATTAGGTAGTGTTAACATCTATCAAATGCAGCAACAACATATTTAAGTAGTGTATGTACCTATTATAAATGATGTTTCTCTGTATAAAATCTTTTTTTTCTATTTTCTGTCACAGGTTAATGAGAGATTTGTTTTTAAGTTGTAATGGAGTAAATCAAATAATTGAATTAAATTACTTAGATGGTATTCGAAGTCATTCCCTAAAAGCATTTGAAACACTGATCATCAGCCTAGGAGAACCCCAGAAGGAAGCTTCAATTCCAGGGATTGATGGGCTAGATATTGAACCAAAGGAACCATCACCTTCAAATATTGGTCCTCTTTTTCATAACCAGCAAGCTTATTCAGGCTCTCCTCAGAGCCTCAGTAAATTTTATGCCAGTCTCAAAGAAGCTTATCCAAAAAAACGAAAGACCGGTAACCAGGATGTGCATATCAACACCATAAACCTCTTCCTCTGTGTGGCATTTTTATGTGTAAGTAAAGAAGCAGAGTCTGATAGGGAGTCGGCCAATGAGTCAGAAGACACTTCTGGCTATGACAGTACAGCCAGTGAACCGCTGAGTCATGTGCTGCCATGTTTGTCTCTCGAGAGCCTTGTCCTGCCATCTCCAGAATGTATGCACCAAACAGCAGATGTGTGGTCTATGTGTCGTTGGATCTACATGTTGAGCTCGGTCTTCCAGAAACAGTTCCATAGCCTTGGTGGTTTCCAAGTGTGCCATAAGTTAATACTTTTGATAATACAGAAACTGTTGAGAAATCATGAAGATGAGCAAGGAATAAAGCAGGGAGATATGAATGCAAATGAAAACCAAGACTTAACCAGAACTTGTCACCCTGAGACAGGTATGCAGGAAGAGTTCTCATCTTTGACTGTAAAAAGTGACCCCCCACTATCAGAATTGGGAAGTCTAAAGAAGACTGCTGACAGTTTAGGTAAAATGGAGTCATCACATATTTCTTCCATAAATGTGGAGCAAATTTCAACCTCTGGAGCTGTTCCTGAGGAAGCAAAGCTATTTACAAATCAAGAAAGTGAGACCTTGCTTCATAGCATACGACTTTTGGAAGCTCTTCTGGCCATTTGTCTTCATAGTGCCAGAACCAGTCAACAAAAGATGGAATTGGAGTTACCCAATCAGGTATTACTATATTTAAAAAAAAATTTTTTTTCAAAGTTTTCATGTTTTGAGCAGCTCCTAGACTTAGCACAGTACCAGGTCCTGTATAGGACACAAAGGAGCATGTGGCCCCGTTCTCACCCTGAAGAAGCTTACAGTTTAGTTTGTAGTGCAAACGCCCCTTGTGAAACACTGTGTACATTGAGTGCCAGATAAGTAAGTCTGGATATTCACATTCTCAGTGTGATGTTGAGTTCCCTGCCTTGCACCCTTACCTTTGTTTCTATCTCTTGTGTAATTCTCATCATATCTTGTCTGTACCTATTTTTCATTTTGAACTGAGAATTTGTTCAAGGAGAAGTCAGTTTCTTATCCATCTTTATGGTCTCATGACCTATTTTAGAGATGTGGGCAAACAGCAAGAGCTTCCTTTAAGGGCAGAAGGGAAGGAGTGAGAGAAAAAGATTAGAATACAGCTGCTTCTTAGAATCTTGGGGAATCTCCAAGAATAAGGGATTTATAAACTCTAAAGGTGGTTAATTCAAACTCTGAAGTTTGAAAGAATAATTTTATGATACAATTAATTACTGGTACACTAAAATTTAAATGAACAATGTATTTGATAAGGGAAAATATTAGCCAAAAATGGTGTCATATCCCAATACTCTGGGAAGCTGAGGCAGGAGGACTGCAAGTTCAAATCTAGTCTGGGAAACGTAGTGATTTAGTGAAACACTGTATAGAAAGAAAAGCCCAATACCACATACATACCCACCAAAGTTACTAATTTTAAAAATAGAATGTTTGGGTAGATCTTAAAATTTATATAATTCCCTTTATATCAATGGCAAATGGACTAGTTTTCTGTGTATTAAATAATTGTTATTTATTTTGTTACTGTTTTAAAAGCATGTTATTAATATTCTTACTCTCATTTTACCTTAGAACTTATCTGTGGAAAATATATTATGTGAAATGAGGGACTATCTTTCACAGTCAAAGGTGACTGAAACAGAATTAGCAAAGCCTTTGTTTGATGCCCTGCTTCGAGTTGCCGTGGGTCAACATTCAACAGATTTTGAACATGATGCTATGACTGAGAAGGTATGAATCCATTTGGTGGCATTAGTTGGGCCATTTGCCTTTGACTAGCAGAGACAGGAATGTGTGGGGTGGGACTAGGACACTGGTGAATGTGGTTAGAATGTAGGGACCTGAATTTGGTCAGGCGAGGTCCGTGGGCAGTATCATCGTTGTCTGGGTGGATAGTGTTATCTCCCAAAACAGCACAGCAATGAGACATACTTTTCTTAATCTACCCTGGAAAGTTACCAAGAATTACTCCCAGTAAGATAGAAATGTGTTTATTTGATTTGATAAATCTTATAGATAACTGATAATTTATTAAATGATAATTCAGGATAATGATAATATAATTCATCTGATCCTATATCTGTACAGCTAATATTTCTAGAACTCTACTCAATTTAAACCACTTAACATAAAAATGAATAGTACTTGCAAAGAAAATAGTCATACTTTAGTTGTTTGTATAACATTTTTTTCTAAAGTAATGATTTTAAAATTTTTCTGAAAATACACATCTCCAATATATATTTAGTTCATTTCCCTCTCCTTTTGTTTCTTTTACCTTTGATTAATTATTGCTTTCCTTTATCTTCATATAACTTCCCTTTTAAATCTTTGTTCCATATATATATATATATGGTGTTTTATAATCTTTTGCCATATTTATTTTATATTTCTGTTTGCTGTAACTTTAAAACTTGCTGAAATAGCTATTAATACTTTCATCTTACTACTGAATCTGTTGATTAACTGTAAAATGTTTAAATATCAGCCTTATGCTCCTTTTTTTGTTTTTTGCTGATGCAGTGATAGCATACTCTAGCTTTTTTTTTTTCTTTTTCTTCTTCTTCTTTTCTTGGTACTGGGGATCAAACCCCAGACCTTGTACTTGCCAGGTAGGTGGTGGCAACACTGAACTAAATCCCCAGCCCTACTCTAGCTTTTAAAAGTAACAGTGGTCTTCGGCTAGGGATTTGGCTCAGTGGTTCCACTGCCTGCCTTGCAAGCGCAAGGTCCAGAGTTCAATCTCTGGTACCAAAAAAAAAGTAACAGTGGTCTAAAATGAAGGTATCCATAGCATTGTTATGAGAAAAGAAAAATGTCTTGCCACAGGTATTGCATAGGAAGTTAATGCTGGAACTTGATTTCTGAGATGTTTGTATTCTGAAATTTTTACTCCCTTTGAAAAATTGCCGTCTCTTTTCTAGTTATCTATGAAACATTTTATTTGTTAAAAATCCTTTGCAAAAGTGTCTTGCCAGTCATGTATGGTGGTACATATTGGTAACCTAAGCACTTAGGAGGCTGAGGCAGGAGGATATTGAGTTTGAGGCAAGCCTGGGCTGCATAACAAAACCTTGTCTCAAAAAACAAAACAAAAAAAGAAAGACATTATTTTCATTAACAAATCTGTGAAAATAACATACAGTTATTAGCATTAGTTTGTATGAAGTATAATTCTGCCTCATTGTGGTTTTCACTCATTATTGTATAACTAGAGTTAGGTTTATTTTTCAGTTAGGAGTATTTTCATACTCTATGGCTTTATTTTATTAAGGTGTTATCTGAGAAAAACATGATACTGGGTGAATGTCATAATCTTACAATGACTATTGTTAAGATATTTTTTTCTTGAAGAACATGCTCACTGGCCCTGTCCTTAAAATGACTTTTGAGTAATAAATGTTCGTTCTAAGAATGAGTGAATGTTACAATTATTGCCTTTAAATTACACTAATCTTACAGAGTCATCAGTCTGAGGAAGAATTATCATCCCAGCCTGGAGATTTTTCAGAAGAAGCAGAGGATTCTCAATGTTGTAGTTTTAAACTTTTGGTTGAAGAAGAAGGTTATGAAGCAGATAGTGAAAGCAATCCTGAGGATGGTGAATCCCGGGATGACGGTAAAATATCCAGAATGTGCTTACCATTGGCTCTGCAAATTGGATTGTTAATTAGCAAAATAGTTCATAAGGATACCACTTTTAGAATTTTGTGTTACTTACAAATTAAAAAGGACATTGCATTATCATTGTATTTGGTCTTCACAACAAGCCTGTTATTTGTGTATGCAATATAAAGCAATGAGATAAATTTTGTTACCATGAGCATTGGCTGCCTAAGGCAATGGGGGAAAGTTCAAGTCTTTACTTTCATATACTTTCTAGTGGAAAGGAAGACAATAAGTATCAGAAGTCAGCAGCATTGGGATATAAAACCAGGTGATGTAACAGTGATTGATTGGGTGGGTGGTCAGGGAAGGCCTTTCTGAAGAGATATTTACATTGAGATCTCAATAATAAAAAAAAGAGCTAACCAAACACTGGCAGTTTGTTATAAAGAATAATGAAGGGGGTAAAGATACCTTCTGTGACATCCAAGCAGCATAGATTTCTTCTTAGTTTAACATGAGCCAGCTTGTCCTTAGTCTGAAAGTGCATGACTTAGTGATCCTTTGTGTCTGGGTTAAAACTTGGGTAGAAAGGAAAAAATAGACTGATTGAAGCTAAAGATTTCTGGGAAGATTCTATCTATTCATATTCTGGCCTTATGCATTTCCCAGTACTGTTAGTCTTCACTAAATTTAGAATACTTTATCTTTCCCAGAGTTAAATTTCTTTTCCCCTTGGAGTGAATGGGAATAATCACTGATATTCTAGTTAAAGGGCCTAATGAACTCATGGTCAGTGCTTTTTGAAAAAATATTGGTTTGATGGTGGTTTTATAATACAGGTATGTTTTTATAATGGTAGATTTCTTCCTTTTATGTTTGCTAATGAAATCTCAAAGGTTTCTGGTTTAGGCAGACATTTATAAATGTTTTCAATATATGAACAATTTTAGAAAAACACAGCAGTCTTTTTAAAAAATCACATCAGTTTTCTAAACTGTAATATTAAGTAACAGCATTTGTTTCTTACACATAAAGAAGACAAAGTTAAGAAGACAGTCGCTCAATAGCTATAGCTGCTATTTTCATTGAATTATTGGCAAGTGAATTAAAATAACCGTATGATTTAGGTATTGTGGGGTCAGAAAGTTTGGGATAGTACTTTTTTCACTTGTGCTAGAGGGAGTTATTAAATTTTTATTACATGTCTATAAACATTGCTGTTGATAATTTTAATTTTATTGGTGACCAAAATTACTTATAAGGCTACTATATAAGCTTCAAACTATGTATAAGACTTTATTATTGTTCATGATATGTACCTTAATCAAAAAGTATATTGTAGGAAAAGGTTTTGTGAGAATCTCTTTTTTATTTTTTGTTGTTGTTGTTGTTGTTGTTTTTGAGACAGGGTCTCACTATGTAGTTGAAACTGACCTGGACCTCACTAGGTAGCCCAGGCGGGTCTTGAACTCACAGCAATCCTCCTGTCTAAGCCTCCCGAGTGCTGGGATTACAGGCGTGTGCCACCACGTCCGGCTTGAGAATCTCTTTATAAGTAACATTTTTGAATGCTGAATCTTCTGAATGCTGAATAAGGCTGAAATATGTGTTCAGTGGCAAGGGTATAAAAATAATCTATTTTTCCCTCTTCAGGGCTGGATTTAAAGCTTGAAACAGAAGGCTTCAGTGCAACAGTCAGTCCACATGACTTACTTGAAAACCTTACCGAAGGGGAAATAATATATCCTGAGATTTGTATGCTGGAATTAAATTTGCTTTCTACTAGTAAAGCTAAACTTGATGTGCTTGCTCATGTATTTGAGAGTTTTTTGAAAATTATCAGGCAGAAAGAAAAGAATGTTTTTCTGCTCTTGCAACAGGTAAAAGAGGCATTAGATTTGATCAATATTTACCACATTCATGCCCCAATTACTCCTCTTTCTTTTTTTTTTTTTATTTAGTACCCGGGATCGAACTTGGGCCCTTGAGCTTGTGAGGCAGGTGGTGGAACCACTGAGCCAAACCCCTAGGCCCCCGTCTTGTTATTTATAACCTAACTTGTCTAAAAGTTACTTGAGAATTCTTGTCCTTTAACAAACTATAGAAAGATCCCTGAAAGTATAGCCTTCTCTTGTCCTTTAAAATACCTTATGTGTGCTTTGACCTGTAAGTGGCACTCTGTAATCTTCTAATTCCATATTTCTCTAATATAAAAATCAATATTGCTATTGGATAACTAGTAATTAATCCTTATATATTTCTGATCATTGGTAACATTTTGAAAATTGCATTTAATTGTAATGTATCTCATCATTTTAACAAATCATAAAATTCAAGACATTGTACAAAGAATGTATAATGCTACATCTAGCATTCTTTCTAGTCATTTAAGAAAAACCACACACAGAGTAGATCTCTATCTATTAATTTATTTATGACATTGCTGTTGCTTTATGCTTCCATGAGGTAAGACATTTAATTTCTTGCATTTCACTTTTTAATCTTCAGGGAATTGTGAAAACTATTTTAGGAGGGTTCTTGAGTATTTTAACACAAGCCAATTCTGATTTTCAAGGTGAGTTAAAACTATTAATTTTAAACAGTTTTAAAATAATTTGTACTTTGTGATAATCATTTGCTATTGTGTGTAATTATGGCTTCTAGTAAGGTTGTGAATTCAAAAGTATTTTCATATGCACCATATGCTAGACATAGTATGAGTACCTTTATTATATAAAAAAGGGACTCCAGACTCTTAAGTGATTGAGTTGTTCACAGTACCATTGCAGAGACTGTAATCCAGTATAATAATTATATTGCTGTCTTATCTAATATTTTCTACTATCTGCTCAGTACTTTTGAGACATTTGAGAAATCCATATATTAATATAGAGTATGATTTTTAACCAGAATAAACCTAAATTGTTAACTGGAGTACAAAGGAGATGTTAACTTGTGTTTGTGTGGTCTCTCTTCCTGATTAAATTCAAGTTATATATTTTTGGCGGGAATCCTCAGAGGTGCTGCTGAGCTTTCCAGAGGGCATCACATCAAGGGGTTTATGATGTCTGTGTCTTATTACTAGTGATGTTAACTTTGACTACTTGATTGAGGTGGTATTTTCTGAGTTTCTCCTTTATAAAGTTAAATATTTTCCCCTTATGATTAATAAGTATCGTAATGGAGTGGTAACTTGAAAATATGTAAATATCCCTTTTCTTTTCTTTTCTTTTCTTTTCTTTTCTTTTCTTTTCTTTTCTTTTCTATTTTTGGTACCAGGGATCGAACTCAGGTCCTTGTGCTTGAGAGGCAGGCAATGACACCAGTGAGCTAAATCCCTGGCCCCAAAATATCCCTTTTCTCATCATACTCATCATACTTTAACCCCATGAATTTTATTCCATTGCTGATACCCGAAACAGTTAATATGTGGTGTTTACCAAATAGTGATTATCTATTTCTATCATTCTTTCTACATTTATTAATTGAGATTGTACTGTAAGAAAAAGCTTTTCCTTCCCCCCATTTACTTGTTTAATGTATGTGTATTACACTCCACGTTATACTCTTCCCTACCTATTTCCTCTATTACCACCATCTAACATTAATATGGAGCGTGTATTACAGCTAATGAACCTAAATTGCTATGTTATTACTAAAGTTAATAGTTTATTCAAATTTCCTTTTTCACCTCATTTTTGTTCAAGGATCTTATTCAGGGTACCACATTACAATTAATTATCATAGCTTCTTGTTTCTGTTGTTATGCTTTTGGTGTCAAGTCTAGGAAGATCTGACTGAAGGTCACAGAATTATTATTTTTTAAAATTACTTTCTCTTCACCATAATCTCTGTTCTTTGTTTTCTTTTATTCTGATTGTAATCTTGGGTCCTTGGGTTGACCCTGTGTATGCCATATCTCATATTATCCACTTCCCTCTCTTTGTACTATATCTTTGGAGATTTTTTCAGTTCTAGTCCCACTTTTAGTGTTCAATTTTGGCAGTTATCTGTTTAATACTTAAGAGCTATTTTTGTTTGATTATTTTATGGGTTTTTTTCCGTAACATCATCTTTGCATATAACATCATCTATCTGGATATTGTAATTAACATTTTAAACAGATTCATTTATCTCCTGAAATTTTTTTTCTCTAGGGTAGGTTTATTAAGTTTTTGGATTTTTACATGTTGGGATTTTTCTTTTAAATTACTGATTCTCAAATATTTTTTGAACCTTTTTTTTTTTTTTTGCCTATTTATATTTAAGAATGCTGTTGGAGAATTCTTCTAATGTTGTATAAGTAAATTTGTTTTTCTTTTGGGCCTTTTCCTTGAATGGATGTTCTATTGAAGAGCTCTGGGCAGATGTGCCAGAGGATGATTGGGGGTTCCCCAGTACCCTAATGAAAAGATAATTTCTCAGGGAATCATTAGGGCCACTATTACCTCACAGCACTCTGTGTACTATAGGAAAATGTACTCTCCATATGAAGGTTGTCAGCATCTTCTTGCTAAGAAAAAGGCAACCCTTCCTTTGTCTAGGAAGCATAGCCCAAAACCAGGACACAGAGCTTGGTAAACAGTGTTCAGTCTATTTTCCCAAGTTTTCCCTTTGGTTAGGCAACTTGCAGACTATATAGTTATACTTAGTACCCCTGATGCTAACACACCACTGTGTATCTGTGCTTTTCCCTGGTATTCCATACCATTTCTTTAGAGAAGAATTATCATTTGGGGACTGAAAGTGAAAGTTGAGCTATCTGTGCTCTATATTCAGATATAGGAGAGAGGTAGCTAGCCACAGACAGACATTTCATTAATTTCTGTGCTTTCAAGTATACTCTTACACTCTCCCAACTTTAGAGAAACAGACTGGCTCTCCCTGCACCAAGTCCTTTTATAATTCAAAGGAATTTTAGGCTGTAGCTTTCTCTTTTGTCCATCTACTTCTTCACCTTTGAGAAATAGTTTTTAATTTTTTACCTCTTTCTCAGTGCTCACTGCCCTCCCTCTACTCATTCTCATTCTGTGTCTCCCTCCCCCTCCCTCTCCCTTCCCCTCCCTCTCCCTCTCCTCTGCTATTATGGATTTATTTTTTCTGTTTTGTACTTTAGTGCATTGAATCTTTAATAGTATATAGAAAGTGTTATATAGGTATATATATATCTGTTTCCTTATTGTAAACTAAAATATGTTAGTTTTGAACTGAAAAAAATCTAGGCATACTACAATATTAGGTTCCTACTCAGAAACCTTTAATGGGTTCATATTTCTTATAGGATAAAAATCTCTGTTAATTTATGCTCTTGTTCCAAATTGTCTTCCTGACATACCTCCTATTATAGTACTGCATCCACTCATTGCCTTTGCAAAACAGGGTGCTAAACCTGGCTTCTATTCTCTACCTTCCAGGTCTTCCAAAACTACTAGTCTTTTAAGATACATTTCATGGTTTAGGTCTAGATTTTTTTTTTGTCATGTGTAAAGTGGAGGTAATAATTGATTCTTAGATTGTTGTTTCTTGGTAAGGGTCAGCAGAGATAATGCATGTGAAAATATCCTTGGAACACTATACAGTTGTGCTCTATAAACAGTTTTATCTACATCAAGAATTCTGTGAATTTGTGTATACCATTGTGTTTCATCCTAAACTTAGAATGTTCAAACTGTGATAAGTATTTGAGTATGTACATAACCTTTAATATTTCTACTGTTATTTCTGACATTCAATTTTCCATGTAGTAAATGGTAGTTATACTTTAAACATTTCAAAATGAGAAGGTAACAGATGAATATTAATTTATCTAGCAAATACTGTACTGATTTATGCTCCTTTAAAAAATACCTTTAGTTTACTCATAGCCAGTAGATATTTAAGAATATTGTTTTTGTTACTTTCTAGGTCAGTTTTCATTTAGCTATCTTGCTATTTCTTCAGCAAATTTTGTGATTACTAGATGTAAAATGGTATTTTATATTTTTCTGTGAAATTACATATTCATTTCCTTTAATTAAATGTATACTGGTTTAATTTTCCCCTCTTTTTCATTTAGTATGCCAGAAAGTATTGGTGGATCTCTTGGTATCTTTGATGAGTTCAAGAACATGTTCAGAAGAGTTAACCCTTCTTTTGAGGATATTTCTGGAGAAATCTCCTTGTACAGTAAATATGCTCTAATTTTTGTATTTATATATACCTTAATAAAATGTTTTAAATGTTTAAAAGCTTAGAAGTCATTAAGCTTTTTCTTTTGGTGTGGCGATTATATAGTCAGTTCCATGTTACATTTGAAGTAATCGGTTATTTTATTATTTTATATATATTTTATTTCACTTCAACTCTGATCAACCAGATTATAGTCCCTCTAACCCACTGTACCTCCAACCTTTGTGCTTGAAGAATGCTAAGTAATTTTAAGGAGAATTTAATGATGAGTAATTACAGCCTTTTTAGGGACAATTCTTTTCTAAAAAAAATTGTTGCCCATTCCTCAGTTATTTTCCTTTCCATTAGTGTATCTCAGTAGCTTTTAGTTGCTGGGATACTCATTTTTAATAATTAAACTCTGAATAGAGGCATAACCAGATACAACAGAAAACTTCATGTTTTATGTGAAACAGGATGGTCTCTTTCAAAGCTCTTCCTACTTCCCTGCCACCAAATTAACTAAATTAACCAAATTAACCACAAGATTATATATTTTAAGAATAAAATATCTTTTTAATAATTCATCATAACTGAGCAAAAATGGAAATTTTAAAGATGTGTTAGAAAACTGCTTAAATAAGAATGCTGATATATATGGGTATGTCTATATTTTCACTTATCACCCAAATTTCGAGATTGTTATCCACCAGGTACATGATTATAAACTTTCATTTCTGTTTCTTTTTCTGTAGGAAATTCTTCTTCTGGGTATTTTGAAAATTGTTGAAAATGATGTTACTATGAGCCCTTCACAGTATTTAACTTTTCCTTTGCTGCATACTCCAAGTTTAAGCAACAATATCTCATCCCAAAAATGTCCTGGGACTCTAAATAGTAAAGCCATGGGCTTATTGAGAAGAGCACGAATTTCACGGAGCAAAAAAGGGGCTGATAGAGAGAATTTTCCCCACCGGCTTCTTTCCTCTTGGCACATAGCCCCAGTCCACTTGCCGTTGCTGGGGCAGAACTGCTGGCCACACCTGTCAGAAGGTTTTAGTGTCTCACTGTGGTTTAACGTGGAGTATATCCGTGAATCCGAAGGTGGTACAGAAAAAAGAAGGAAGATAAAGAAAAGAAACAAATCACTAATTTTACAAGACAGCAGTTTTGATGGATCAGGTATGATGATAGGGTTATCTACTTTGTACACTAAAATGTTTCAGATGGCAATTTTGGATGAGAACTAAGGGCATATACAGCAATGTTCAATCTAGCTCTTAGCACGTTCTTCACTTTGAACGCTTTACTTAATGGTGGCAGGTCCTGAATTACCAAAGTCTGAGTTGTCATAAAGCCTTGCAATCTCAATTCCCTCCTGTATTTTGTCTTTAGGGTGAAAGTATGGTGTACACTACATAATATAATGGCTGCTGGGGTCATAATCCCCTTTTCCTGCTTATTTTTTTGGTCCCATTACTTGATTAGGGTGGCTAGTGATGTTAGAAGAGGAAAACATAAAATCCCACAGCCACTCTTCTGTATGCTCTGTTCCCAGCCCCTATTACACAACTCCATTCCATCCTCTTTCTCATTTTTCTCAAATTCTCCTCTTGCTGTGTCTTACCTCAGTGGCCCTCCCTTAGTTCCTGTCACAGAACCGTTAAATGTATCATCATTCTCCAGAGTTAGAGCAAAGTTCTTCCCAGACCTTCTGTGTCTGAGGAATTGCTGTTATGCTGCCTTAGAACTGCAGGAAGAAACTGTTCATTAAAAAGCAGTTATGATAGTGGGAGTCAAATAAACAGGATCGTTTTTAAGGTCTCTGGAATGAATAAAATGTAAAGATCAGACAGACGGTGAGAGTTTTACATATACACAGAAGTGCAGTTTTCATTAACTCTTCATTCCACAAATCTCACCTGTCCATGCAGCCTCTGTCTCAGGTCTCCACTTACTGTGATATGGACAGGAAAATCCCTAACCAAGTCATCAAGATTGAAATGATGGCAAATGTTGTCTGATATGTGCAGTTGGAGTCTGAATCTACTTTCAGCAGATATTTTCCATGTTACTAACATAGCATAATGTTTATGTACTTTTTTTGTGTGTGGCGGTACCAGGATCAAACTCAGGACCTTGCTCTTGTGAGGCAGGTGCAGCACCACTGAGCTAAACTCCTGACCTGCTTGTGTAATTTTATAGGTTAGCTTAGGATGCTAAACTTTTTTTAAACTTATTTATTAGGTACCATACAGTGGTGTATATATTATTTATCGTCTATTAATTAAATAAATCTAAATTAAACTCATCTGTGGAGCTAAGATAATATTTAATTTTCAAACATACATAAAACAAGTCCATTGACCCCCCCCACTACTACAGATATATTTTTCGTATTAGTGTGTGACTAAATCCTAACCTTGTAAAGAGACTAAATAATATGAACTATTAAAAATAATATGTACTTAGGTCCAGTGTCTGCAGCCTCAATTTGCAAAATCTTTCCCTAGTCACTCTGCCAGGATTCTAATCAGATGCAATGCTCAATCAAGTTCCAACATGGATTTAAGGGATGCTAAACTTTTTTTTTTTCTGTACTGGGGATTGAACTCAGGACCTTGCACTTGTGAGTCAGGTGGTGGAACCACTGAGCTAAATCACTGGCCCAACTTTTTAAAAAATTGAGGCAGATGATTTGAAACGTTTCAAGTAGTTATAGAATCTTCTATGGATTGGATTTTGCCACCTACCAGTGACAGCTCTGAAATCATATCACATATGATGGTATTGATGAAGTTCCTGTTTAACATGCATTAAGTCCTTTTGTCTGTGTATCACTTTGTTCCTGTCTTTTGAATACATTTCTAATCTTTACTATAAGTGAGTAAATAAGTGCTCTTACTGTCTGTACTTGTTGATGACGCTAACCAGCATAACCAAGTCACATAGCTGGGAAGTGGTGGATAGGAACTTAAACCCACTTGTATTTAATTCCAGAGTTTATATTCTGCTATACGCTATCCAGATTGCTTTATCATATTTTAATGGGATCAGTCCCAATATATGCAGTGTATTATAAAATAAATGAATCTATACTGTTGATCAATAAAAGCAACAATTGGAAAAGATTTTTTGTTTTAATATTAAAGATGTATTATAAAGCATATATTTTAGGAATATGGTTTTGCATGAACACTAAAAAAGAACATTTAAAAATAAATACACATATAATTTTGGAATAGAAATGGAGAAAATATTGTAGTGACATCCCATATTTTGACATTAAACTATGTATGTGTTTTTGAGACATTATTGAGCACTTCAGCACCTCAGTCCCATCACTACCCAAGTTGGGGTAGTAATATTTACCTTATAAGATTGTTGTGAGCACTAGCTTAAGAAATACTTAATAATATTCCTACTCTGCAGTTCCTAGGTTCACATTGGTATTTGTTGTGTCCTTTTATCTGTATAGTTCAGATTTGGCATAGAAATATTTTAAAATATCACATCAGATATATGACTTCTCTGTACATCTTATATCATAGGCAGTAGTTCTCAAAATAATCAGTAGTGCTTCTCTTCTTTTATAGGACTGTTTTCATTTCTAGTGGGAGTATTCTTGTTGTTTTTTGGTTTTTTTGAGACAGGGTCTCACTGTTGCTAGTGGGAGTATTCTTATAAATTGGTGATGGTTTTACCTGTTGCTAAATGGCAAATAATAGCTGTACAATCTTCTAACTAGTAATTTTCATCTCCTCTGAAAGTCTGAACCTGTGGCCATGCATTTTATACTTCGGTGTATAATACAGCTTTAAAAAAAAGTAACATACAGAACAAGAAGCTTTTCATATGTATTCAGCTAGTGCAGAGTCTAAGTGGTGAGAAAGAAGAGCCAGGAAGAATAAACAGATAGCCTAAAGCCTATAACCATAATGTAGAGTTTCAGAATCACTTAGTAATTCCATTCAAAGATCACTCACCAGAGTCTAAATAATGACTATTCAAACACTATCATATGTCTAACTGCAGTTTTAATATGATCATTTTTTTAAAAAATCATGCCATTGTGATAATTACTTGGTGGATTTTGGTAGAATGAAGCATGAGGCAAGGTGTATGCTCCCTGGACCAGGGTCAGTGGTGTTGTAATGACCCATTCATAAAAATTTGCTATAGATTATTGTAAGTCCATCACAGTGGCATCACAGCACTTGGGCCCATAATTGCCCTTAGTTATTATATATTTTAAAATATGCAATAACTTCTAAAGCACTGAATCACTATCTTTCATCCTTTATGCTTATTTATTTATTTAGTTTTTTCATTAAGTTTATTGGTGCATTTATGGTAAATAATACAGTTATATTCATCATTGGGATCTTTTTAAAAATTCATTTATATTTTTTTTGGAACCAGGGATTGAACTTGGGTTCTTGCACTTGCAAGGCAGGCCACCCAACCACTGAGCTAAATCCCCGGCCCAATCATTGCGATCTTGTACCTTTACATGATGTACCTCAGTTCTTATTTTTCCCCCATTCCCCTGCCTACATTTCACCCCCTTAATGCTTCCCTATTTACAAAGACTTTGTTTCCATTTTTTAATTTTCTCATATATTTTTCTTTTCCCTTATTTCCTTCCCCCTACCTTTCCCACTTCCCCTTTTCCTTTAGACATTTTCTTCCTGTTTCACACTATCAATTATACCATTTGAACCTTATTTACTCTTTTAGTTTTTCACACTAGAGAAACTATTCTGTATTTACTCAAGTGTGTCCTATTTATTTCACTTGAGTATAGCTTCAATGTGCATCCATTTAACTGTAAATGTCTCTAGTTTCTCATTCTTTATGGCTGAGTAGTACTCCATTTTATAGAAAAACCACATCTTCTTTATCCATTCTCCAGCTGATAGTCACTTGGGTCTTTGCCAAGTTTTAGCTATTACAAACTGTGCCACTGTAATCATGGGTGAGCATGTATCACTGTGGTCGGATTCTTTTAATTCTTTTGGGAAGATACCCAGCAGAGGAATAGCTGTGTCAAATGGGACCTCTAATCCTAGTTGTTTAAGGTATCTCCATATTGATTTCCACAGTGTTTTCACCAGTCTGCCCTCCCACCAACACTGGAGAAGGCTTCCTTTCTCCCCACAGACCTGCCAGCATTTGTTTTTGGTTAATTTGATAGCAGCCATTCTTTCTGGGTGAAGGTGGAGTCTCTGTTGTTTTCATCTGCATCTCTTGAATGACCAGTGATGTTGAACATTTTTTTTCATATATTTGTTTGCGGCTTTTACTTATTTATATGAGAAATGTCTGTTCATTTCAGATACCCATTTTTTAATTCAGTCTTTATATTTAGGGGGGTCTGATTGTTTTTTTTAGTTCTTTATATATTCTAGATAGTAGACTTTGTCTGAGGAGCAGCAAGTAAAATTGTTTTCCCCACATTGTAGGTTGTCTCTTAGCTCTGCTGGTGGATTCTCTTGCAGAAGCTTTTTAATAGTATGAGATCCCAGTAGTTGATTTTTTTGCAAGTTGCCATGCTACTGAGTATTTGTTCATAAAGTCTTTTCCTATGCCAGTGTCTTCAAGAGCTCTAATTTATTTTCCAACAAGTTTAGTGTTTCTGTTTTGATATTTAGATCTTTAATCCACTTGGATTTTAGTTTAGTGCATGGTAAAAGATAGGGGTCTAATTTTAATCTTTGGCAAGTTAAAAGCTAGTTTTTCCAACACCATTTTTTAAAGAGGCTATCTTTCCTCTAGTAAGGACGATTGGCTCCTTTTTCAAAGATGAGGTAGCTGAATATGTCTTGAGTTGTTTCTGCATCTTCTAATCTGTTCCACTGATCCTTGGGTCTGTTTTTTGCCAGTACCATGCTGTTTTTAACCACAGTGGCTTTGTAGTATAGTTTCAAGTCAAGGATTGTGATAACCCTGTCATGTCCCTATTGCCTAGAATTGTTTTTGCTATTCTAGGTCTCTTCTGGTTTCAAATGAATTTTTGGATTGTTTTCTCAAGTTCTGTAAAATATACTGTTGGGATTTCAGTCAGGATTGCATTGAATCTGTTGAGCAGTTTTGGAATGGCCATTTTCATTATGTTGGCTCTTCTTATCCAAGAGCAAGGGATGTCTTTCCATTTTCTTATATCTCTTCAATCTTTTTTT